TAGGATCAACATAGTAACAAATGGCAATCTTGCCAAAAGCAATCTACAGATTCAATGCAATCCCCATCAAAATCCCAACACTGACCTTGAAAGAACAATTCTCAACTTTATATGGAAAAACAAAAGACCCAGAATAGCCAAAACAACCCTGTACAATATAGGAACTTCTGGAGGCATCACTATCCTTAACTTTAAGCTCTATTTACAGAGCTATAGTCCTGAAAACAGCTTGGTAGTGGCACAAAAATAGACAGGTAGACAAATGGAATAGAGTTGAAAACCCTGAAATTAACCCACACACCTATGAACTCCTGATTTTTGACAAACAATCCAAAAATATACGCAGGAACAAAGAGCATCTTCAACACATGGTGTTGGCATAACTGGATGCAAACATGTAGAAGCTTACAGATAGACCCAAGCCTTTCGCCCTTCACAAAACTTAAGTCAAAATGGATCAAAGACCTCAACATAAACCCAGCCACACTGAACCTACTAGCAGATAAAGTGGGAAATACCCTTGAATTAATCGGTACAGGAGATCACTTCCTGAACACAACACCAGTAGCACAGACACTGAGATCAACAATTAATAAATGGGACCTCCTGAAACTGAGAAGCTTTTGTAAGGCAAAGGACATAGCAAGACAAAACAACAGCCCACAGACTGGGAAAAGATATTCACCAACCCCACATCTGACAGAGGGCTGATCTCCAAAACATACAAAGAACTCAAGAAGCTATTCTTGAAAACAACAAACAATCCAATTAAAAATTGGGGTACAGAACTAAATAGACAATTCTCAATAGAGGAATCTAAAATGATTGAAAGACACATAAGAAAGTGTTCATTCATATAACAAGGACATCTGTTCAACCATGTTCATAGCACCATTATATTTGTAATAGCCAGAAACTGGAATCACCCCAGATGTCCCTCAACTGAAGAATGGATACAGAAAATGTGGTATATTTACACAATGGAGTACTACTCAGCAGAAAAAAAAACAATGGAATATTGGAATTTGCAGGAAAATGGACGGAACTCGAAGAAACCATTCTGAGCGAGGTAACCCAATCACAAAAAGACAAACATGATATGTACACACATACATGTGGACCTGCTTTATGATACATAGTGGTGACCATGCTTTATCGGAGCTGTTTTTAATGATGTTGCTCAGAATGGTTTCCTCCCAGATGATGAATGAGAAACTAATTTAAAAAAATGGTGCCAAGTAACACAAGAGTAACAGGACTGTGCTGATTTCTGGGATTCTGTTTTTTACTTTTTTGTTGTTGTTGTTTGTTTGTTTGTTGTTTTTGTTTTTTAAAAAATGGACTGTGCTAGATGTCTCTACAATTTTGTAAAGAGCTATAGAGATACAGGACAGCTAGTATTGTGGAGTGGTTTGGTCAGTTTCCTTGGCTTCTACAAACTACTAAAAGGGTACAATGCATTTGATGCAGTTATGAGCTATTTGTGTTTTTTGTCTTCTTTGAAATACTTTTTTATGTCATAGCGACCTACCTTTCACTTATTGATTCAGGGTACAATAATCATGATAGTCTGTTATCAGCTATACATGGTCCAAATTATTTGCTTATGTGACTTTTTCTTGTCCTTTTCTCCTTGTGGATTTTTAATATGATAGATAAAGGCTTTAATTTTAATATAGTTGAGTTTGTCAGTCTTTCCTATAATCACTTGCATGTTCTTCTTATTATGATTTGTATTTTGATGGAACTGGAGTTTACTGATGGTTTAGAATGGCTGATCGGCAAACTCCATGGATCCATCTATCTCTATCTCTTATCCCAGTAGAAGAGACACAGATGTGCACCAATCATCTTTTATGTAGATGTTAGGGGTCTATCTTAGATCCTCAAGCTTGTGCATCAGGCAGGCACTGTACCAAAGGAGCCCTCTCTCCACCCTCCGAGTTCTCTGACGTTCTACACTCTGTATGTCCATCTTCATCTAGTAAAATATTGTTTAGATTGCTGAAAACATTAAAATAATCAGAAATATTTTTCTCTTAAATGAGAAATGAATGTAAAAATAATGCTAGAAACATTTAAAAGGGGGAAATATTTAATTGGAAAATATGACAAACAAAAAGTAGCAAGAACATTTGTATCAGGTAAAGTAACATGCAAAACAGAAGCACAAAATTGAAGAATCAGCCACCAAGATAAAACAGTTATTATGAAACAGACAGAGAGAGGAGGAAAGAGAAGACAGGGAAAAGGCAAAGATAAATGACGTCAGTTAAACAACATCACAAATCAAGTTGGACATATGTGTATAATATATTAAGGAATAGAAAATATATATTTTATTAACCATATAGTATATATAGTACAGAAACTAAAATGTTGACTCTCACCTATAAATAGTGTCTATTTTTCAGACAACACAAGAAAACATTATAAAATAACAAGCTTTAACCTGCCCATATGTCTTGCAAATATAATAATGACCATAGTGTATTTTAAACTCAAAGTGTATTGGCAAATGAGCAAAACATGATTTAACTTTAAATTTTTAAAACATTTATTTTTGTTTTTTGTGGGTGTTTTGTCTACATGTTAGTACATATAAATTACATGTGTGCCTTGTATCTGCAGAGGCCAGAAGAGGGTCTCCTGGACCTAGGGTTACACATGGTTGTGAGACAACATGTAGTATTGGGAACCAAATACGGTTCAATTTCAAGAGCAACAAGTGCTCTTAACCACTGAGATGTCTTTTTAGCCACACATTGTTTCATATTTGAAATATAATAATAATATATGAAACAATAATAATATATAAGGAATAATAATATTATATAAGGAAAATTGGGAGTCAAGCAAAGTTATGCTAATAGTATTTTTTCTCATAGAATTATTTTCATGCTGGGAGAGTACAATGGTTATCCCTTGTTCTTTTTTTTTTCAACCTGTCTTTGATTTTAAATTAGCATGAATTAGAATATAATTATGATAGTAAGCTTATTTTTAAAATGAAAACAAAACACAGAGATCACAATTGTAACTGCATATGACTGTATTGATATTGCATTAAAAGCAAAATCCACAGATATAAATGCCTACATTAAGAGTCAAGAAATATAAAAGATCTTCCAATGACCCTTGCATTCCCTAAAGGACTTGATTCTAGACCAGTACTTCTGAGTGCATATCACATCACAGTTTTGACAACAATCAAGTTCTCATAGTTTACACTGGGCATCCGACTTGGAATACATACGTTCCGTTCTTCCTTAACTGCTTCCTCCAGCTGGGAAGCGAATTGTGAGCAGCACAACAAAAATGAATTCATATCATCACCAACCTTTAAAAAAGAAACACAAGACAGCTACTTTCAATTTTAGAACCCACTTGTATATCCACTTCTAAATATATTTAACAGTGTTTTGAAAGTATTTTAATTTTGTGTAATTTGTGTTCCTTCAAATATAGGTGGCAAGAAACTATTTTTCGAATGTTATCCCAGAAACTCCTCCTAGAAATGAAATATGGAAGAAAGCACATTCTGGGGAGTGATGACACACAGTATGTTGTTGTTTTTCTGTCGGCTTAGTGGCTGCACCAGAATCTGCTGATATTTTAAAATCTGAGTAGAGCAAGCCCACTGTCAATACCCAGCTGCTTAAACCGTGGCCAGACAGGATTTCTGGCTCTATTAGCACCAGCTTGCCTGCAGTCGCGGCTACCAGATGAAGGTTTAAACTAAGTCTCCTATCGTCTATTTACCATTAAATATTCTGGAATCAGTCGTTGGGGTGAAAACCTGCTAAATCAAGGAAGCCAAGAAGCAACCAGCTCACCTTCCCTTTTTGGCCAGAGACCCAGCAAGAGAAGTGTCTCTCCACTCTTCCCAGACCAAATAAGACTGCAAATCTCTAAGTCCCGCCCTACTTCTTTCTGTACCTCTCTATCCCTAGTCCTGGGTCCTCCATGCTCTCTATGGCTAAAACTTGTCAACTAGTCATTGCCTCCGCCTCCTGATCCAAGGTTAATTTTATTAGCACAGTCTCAGAGTTTCACAGTGCAATCAAATATCATGCAACGATGTTTTCCTACTTTAATCTATCTATACAACTGCAAAACTCAGGCAGCCCAACCTTACACTCGCGTTTTTAGGGAGTCTAAAGAAAATAGCTAATGTGTATGTAACTGTACATGTTAGAAAGTTAATGTAGGACTGTGGGTGCAGAGCAGTGGTAGGGCACTTGCCTGCAAACCCAAGGCATGGGTTCTAGCCCCAGCACCACAAAAATAGAAAAAAAAATTGTAAACTACAACTATTGACTGTAAATATGCTTGCCAAAATCTGTAGTCTTTCAGTGTAACCTGTTAGTAGGCAATGATCATTACAATGTAATGATTAAATATCTTCTGGTAGATATTTGTATATCAGAAAACTAACCCATGTTAAATCAATCTTAAATACTTATCTCCAGTAGAGATTCTCACAGAAGAAGATACCCACTGAACAAAACACTTCTACCATACTTCATAGGAACAAAATGGATAAGACAGTCATATTATTTCAGCACTTGAAAAGCTGAGTCAGTAGATTCCAAGTTTCAGGCCAACTTGGGCTACAGAGAGTATTCAAGGGAATTTAGTGAAGTCTCATCTCAAAATTGTAAGCCACATCTGGGTATGTGTGTATGTGCCTGTGTGCACACATGCCATATTACATGTGTGGAGGTCTAAGAACATGAATTGGTTCTTCATGTGAGTTCCAAGGATTGAACCCAGGTCAGTAGGCTTGGTGGCAAGCACTTTTACTCACTGACCATCTTGCCAGCCCTCAAAAACTTAAAGAAGTTTTAGAGTGCTTCTCAACCACACTATTGACCATGAGTTCAATCCTAATACCAAACAGCAACAATAAAACAAAAAAAGCAGAAAAACCAAAAACAAACAACCCCCCTCCAAACAAAACCAAATAAACAAAACACTGGAAAAATCATCCAGGAGACTAGAAAAATAGAGAAGAGTTACCAATCACAAATTTAAAGACAGTTCATTCCATCACACCACTGCACTCGATTGCCACAAAATAGAGACCAATTTGACAAAGTTTGCCCAAATAAGAGCAGTACACCAGACAGAAGACAAGAGAGTTTAGCAGTTATGCTGAAGAGTGACAATAACAACTTGTGTACTATGTAACTTATGCTAGTTGAGAAAGGATAACTTGGGACACAAAATTGGCAGGACCAATGACCTTCAGGTCCTAGGGAAACTGAAGAACTTCTCTTGTAATATATACAAACTACAGGGAAACAAAGAAGGTGGTAGCCAGAGGTCAGGGTCACTGAAATAAGTTAAGGAACTGACACCCTGTCATCAGCATTTGAGGTGAAATAGAAGACTATTAGCAGAGTAATCAAATTCAGTGAAATGAAATGCCACATTACATGAGCAGTTCCATACAGATAAGGAAATTATCAAGAATCATGACAATGGATGTGAGAGAATCTGACTACTACATATATACTACTTACTGAATATCACACATCGGTCCTTTCTTTTATACTCACAGAACTTCATTTTTGTTTGAAATAGCAACATTTAGCTACTACTATTACTGCTGGTGATAATGACAGTTAAAAATTTCCAGTCTTACAACCATGAGCATAATGGTCAGATATCCTGAAAGCTGCAATAGTGTCACTTATATCCTGGGGTAACTCAAAGCCATTTTTGGACTTAAGGCCTTATAAGTTGAACAGAATTCATGCCAAGCACTATAAACCCAAACAACTACCTGATGATACCATGGACCCTAGAGGAGAATGACCTATTGTCGCTTTCCTAAACCATTATAATTTCTAACTGCATTCTAGTACATACCTTTACATACACAGAGGTGAAGCTCTCACCCTCCCCCATCAAAGAAGCTTCTTTTTGTAACTGGTGGTAAACCATCATAGAAACTCAAACCGTCCAGAATACAAAGAAAACTGAGCATTGGTTGCTCACCCTCCAGTCAATACATCTACAACACAACTGACACAGAACAATAAATACACAAAAGTTAAAAAATTCAAGTGCAAATATATGGTTGAGTCAAACATATGTAAAACAGGGCCAGCAAGAAAGCTCAGCAGTTAAGAGTGCTAGGTGTTCTTGCAAAAGACTAGAATTCAGTTCCCAGAAACCACAATGGGTGGCTCACAACCTCCTGTCACTTTAGCTCCAATATCTTTTTCTGGACTCTGCAGGCACCACTACACATGTGCACATTCACACATACATACATGTGGAATATTCCTTTACACTGTGTGAATATATGTCAATGTGAATTGGGTTAATAAGAAGCTGACTGACCAGTTGCTGAACAGGATAAGTTTAGGCAGAAAAACCAGACTAAAGACATTGGGAAGAAGAAGAGTGGAGTGAGAGGAATTGCCAGCTGGTCATGGGAGAGGAAACAGGAGGTGCAAGATGAAAGAGAGGGAAACCATGCGGCAAAATGGAGATTAATATAAATTCATTAACTTAAGTTGTAAGAGTTAGTTAGTAACAAGCCTGAGCTATTGGCCAAGCATTTAGACAGAGAAACTCTGCCTACATAGACTGGGACACATACACACAAATAAAATTTAAAAGGCACCTTAAAAATTAAAACAAGCAAAAAATGAAACTAATAGAAAACAAAACAACCAACTGAATGGGAACCGTGCTATTGTGTTGATAACTGCAATATGACAATATGTACAACAAAGATATTTGCTAAATCTTAAAAACCTTCTTTGGTTTGTTTTCTACTTTAAAGGCTAGAAAACAAAGTATTTAAAAATTATATTTTATTGTTTATCTGTGTGTGTGGGGGGTTGATGGGGGTGTTCATGATTGTCTGCAAAAGTATACCCGTGGAGATCAGAGTATGACTTAAAAGGGTTGGCCCTCTCCCTCCACCATGTAGGTTTCAAGGACTGAACTTAAGTTTGTCAGGCTTGGTGACAGACACCTTTACCTACTCACCCATTTTGCTGGTGCAATACTTTCTTATAGCCAACTCAAGCAAAGTAGCCAAGCTCATATTTAAAACTCACCATAGAGGCAAGATTGTAAAAAGTAGACTACAGATAAGACAGGAGTTGACAGAGGCTGGAACCATTAGCACACTTCTGTCAAGTGTCATAAAGAGGATTTTGTACGTTTGTGGGGGCATTTAGACAGTGTGTTGTGTGGATTCCAAAGGCATCATCTGAACAAACAGATAAAGTTGAGCTTTCCTCTTTACGTTTCAGTCCTGTTCTTTCTCCATCTTCATTGACAGTTCCATATGTGTTTTCCAAAGCAGCAACCACCTTAAAAAAATGTAAATCAAGTTGAATTTTTCACAGTCAAAATGCTAAAACAATCACACCATGATAGTATAGATGTCACTTTATTGCCAGTGGCAGGAAGGTCAACTTTCTACCCTTTGGCTCATCATGTGTCATTTAGAAGATGCCTGCTCAATGGTGCTAAATCCTGTCTCCTTGCCATGGGGACACCCTAAAACTCTGTCTTCTCTATGTGGATAAGTAGCTAAAAGAGAAAAGGCATGCCTGTGAATAGCTTAAGAAAGCAGAGCTTTCCTTAAAGTCTGATTTTCCTCTGAATATTGCATAAACAAAAAAGAAATATACAGAGCAGAAAGCAATAAACTCTAAAAGACATTTTCCAAGAAAACAAACTGACCAGGTATCTCAGAAGTTTGAACTGTAATTTTTCATATTGGTGTCCTCTCTCCTTATTCTCACTTAAAAGCCTATTTACAATCTTAACTGTCAGTCATTATAAAAGAAACTTAAGAGAAACATTAAATGCTATCATTTCTAAGAGTTATCCTAGCTGGCAGATGCATATACCCACAAATCACTGCTTGCAAAGATAGTCTTAGCCTGGCAGTTAGGAATTTTGTTTTCAAGAAGCTAGAAGAATGGTCTTTATTCCAGACTGTGCTTTATGCTGAACTGCTTTCTTTTGGATTCTGGAATTCTAATACATGCTTGACAGAGAACACTTTAGGTTCTCACCCTTCTAGGCACTGAGGTTTTTTTTTTTCAGATTTTTTATATGAATTAGAAACAAGATTGTTTTACATGACAATCCCAGTTCCCTTCTCCCTCCCTTCCTCCTCTACCACCCCCCAACTAAAACCCTACCGATCACATATCCTTTCTTCTATTCTTCCTCTGACTCAACCTTTCTGCTCCCTCATGACCTCTGCATCCTTCCTCTTCTTCCCTTCTCATTCTCATAGCTCCCTCCTCACTCTTCTCATAGGCACTGAGTTTTTAATGATAACTTCTAGTACCCTTTCTATTTGAGTCATCATGATTCTTTATATGAGGAATGAAGCATACCTCATAGGACTGCAGTCAGAGGATACACTCATAGCCCTGGGCCTGTTTTCTTTCTAATCTCCCTCCAGTTGCTGGATGTAATAAATCTTATCATTGGTATAAGAATATATGGAGTCCATCCTAACTACAGCTGATGCTCTTGCAGTGTAACAGCAAATCTCCCAGGTAGTGACCATCTTGGGAATTACCACAAATAGGAGACACAGAACATATCCTACCATCTTCAGGTGTTTAGCAATCCTCTTGACCACTTCATCTTCTGTTATTAAATCCTTTGTCTTACTAGATGGTATTGGCAAGGCATACCGCACAATTGATTCTCCTGTGGGTGGAGACCTTAAGACCATTGGTTCGATTTTATCATGCTGTGCCTTGGCATTATGTTTTTCTTTTGACTTAGGTGGTGAATTAAGTAGTCCCTTTTTATAAGGTAATTCTGGAACATTTGCCAGTTTCTTACTAACGCTTGGTAGCTGCTTTGCCCGCTTCATTTTTGTGGCTGACTTTGCTTCCAAATTACATGTGAAAAATTCAGTACCTCCCTAAGAATGAAACATTAAGAGATTCAAAGAAAAATCCCAAACCACTCATTTAACTAACCAAGAAAATTAAGTTATTCTAATGAAATTCGTGTCTTATCATTAGGGTACTGCAGCAGGCTGCTAAAATGATATTGTTATTATGGTGTGACTATGCACACCACTTCTGTACAGGCTCATTTTGGGTATTTTTTTCCAAATAATGTCACTATTTTGTGAGGTGACCAAAACTTTAGGAGGTGTGGCCTAACTGAAGGACATTGATAAGTGAATGCTGACTTGACTTGGAAGGTTTACACCTGGTTCCCAATTTCCTGTTTTCTGTTTTCAGTCACAAGTGTGACCAGCCTCATCTTCCATGTGTTTCCCATCATAAAGTTTTGCTTTTCATAGACTCAGAAGCATACAGCCAAGTGACTATGGGCTGAACCTTCTGAATCTGTGAGCCAAGTAGGTCCTTCCTTTTAGTGGGTGCTTCCTTCTGAATCTGTGAGCCAAGTAGGTCCTTCCTTTTAGTGGGTGCTTATGGCTGGTAATTTGTCATGGAAATGCAAAAATAACTGAAACAGACACCAAATCTCTTCAGGGAGGAGCTGACATTATATATTTGGGTATCTTTAATGGCAAGTTAAATAAAACAATAGAAATTTTTGAACCCAAGTATGAAAATCTAACGGTGAAAAGACCCATTATTAAGCTAAAATGCACCCTTTGTAAACGCCATCATTCCCATTTTGCATGTGATTAAACTGATCTCAGAGAAGTTGGTCACAGGACAACTCAAACAGCTAGGAAGTATTATAGTTGGAATTTCAATGAAGACCTTTTTTTCTGTATATCTTGTTTCTTTCCTATACTACTTGTTCCAAGTGTTATCATTTCTTTGTCTTTAAAATTTACAGCAATTTGTATGAGTGAGGGATGAAGTGAAAATATTTCAGATTTGAAATTACAACAGGATTACCAATTACTCCAGAGATGCTCAATCTAAAAATCAACTTGGGATTACAAACTAGAGGGGCTATCCTGACAACAAGTCTTGAGAAGTTTCGAAAAGTGACCCAAGTGATTCAAATATGGGAAGTCTTAGGAAGAAAGAAGACAATGTTCTCAGAAGAACTACAATTCTGTTCTTATTATCCCTATAATTCGTGTCTCAGTATGGATCACATAGGAAGAAATACTCCCAACAAATAATAAAGATATGTTTCTCAGACCTAAAGAGTGTTGCCATGTACAGGTAAAAATGTAGAATGCCGATAGGAAGCAAAAAACACAAAGCACATCAGAAAGAAATGGAAAGATCTGAACAAGAAAAATAAATTTTCAGAAAGAACATGAAAGTCAAAAAGGAGGGGAAAAGAGAATCAATGATACCATTTAATGTTTCTTCTCAAAAGATTATATATTTTATCTAAACTTCAAACTCATTAAGGGCTAACAAATAAACATGTCTCAAAGAATAAACCAGCAAAGGAGTGAGCTGGGGCTGAAGCTATGGCCCGAGGCTAGAGTCCAAGCCTCTGCCAAGACTTGCTCAGTCAGAGTAAGCCCTGAAAGAGAGAGCTGTAGTGGGAGTGGCCTGTGTGGAGTGAGCAGTTTCTCAGGGCCGGGATGCTCCAAACTAGCAGTGCTTCAAGCCCACCAAGCGGTGGTCACTTATTATCATCAAGAATCCAGGCCTGGCTAGCAAACCTATAGTTTCTCCAGGCACAGGATGGTTCATCTTGATTTGATGCTCTAAACTGGGCTCTTTTCAAACTCAGGGGAGTAGCCACAGAGAGATGATCAGTTCAAATCCCAACCAGCTTCCCTGCCTTGGCAATTTCTGGGCACTCATGCAGTGTGGGGGTTGTAGTAGCTGGGGCCCTCTCCTGCCACCTCTAAAGCCAGAGAATGGAAAGTTCCCACTGCCTGTTCTGCTCCTCCTCTTCTCCCGTTCAAAAGGAAGTTTCTTTCTAGCTCCACCCTCCACGGGAAGACCTGTCTCTGCTGTCCAAAGTGTGTCCTTCTCCAGCTCCTGCAGCACTCCCAGGAAGACTGGGCTTGGATTCATTCTTGCCTCAGCTCTTTGTCCTTAGTGGATAACAGTTGATCTCTCTTCTTAACTTCATACTAAGGGATTTATCCATTCGGATTATCAGCTCCTTGACCATGTCCATGTGACTTCCCCACTCATCTGAGGTCCAGTTTCCCTGGGCTCTATTTACCAGCTCTCGGGGATCTAGTCAGTCTCACCCCGAATGGAGTGTTCGGAGGGATCCAGTTCAGGATTTTCCCTGCTGGAAGGCTGCTTCAAGTTGGCAAACTAATTGGGAGCGAGGTATGAACCCAGCATCTCTACTCACAGCGAACAGGAAGAAAGAAAAATCTCAAAAGAGATTACTGCAATCAGCTTGCCTGTAGGACAACTGGAGAAGCCCAGGAACGGCTCAAGCAGCAAGTCTTTATTTAACACTGAGCCTCTGGACTTAGGCTCCAGTACAACTCTGAGGACCAAGGAGATTCCATGCAACTAGAAACCATTCTTTTATCAAGGAAGACTACTTACAGTGTTGCTGCAAGATCTGTTATCCCCTCTGAGCTTTCATCATCCTGGAGGCAAGGCTTGTATTGTGTGCTGTGTTGGTCTGATGTGAACGCACTTGGTTCTCAAGAGGATCTGGATGTCCTCAAGGAAGAATTAGAGCAACAAAATCTAGTCAGAAAGGCCCACTCCAGGAAATGCCCAAACATAATGAAGGAAGGGCTGGAGCAAATAAAAACAACATGAGAATGAAAATGGGAAGGTGGACTCTATTACAGTCAGCAATGTGGCAGAGTTGACTTCTGAAGTAAAACCTCAAAGCCAATGCTACCTTAGATGTACACTCTGCTTGCTACCACTGTAGAGGGACTTCAGAAGAGCGCAGTTCCCATCGGCAATGTCTTAAACACTGTTCATCTTGCTGTAGAGGCGACATGGAAATCTGAGTGTACAGAATAGAATTATGGCAGAGTGATATGGAGAGTAATGTAAGTAACCAGATTTTCTCATCACCTTCAGGCACACCAGAATTTGCAATAAAATCCCAGTGACAAGGTAAGTTCTGCCTTGGAGCTGTAAATAACGCTGGGTGGACAGTGCCAGTTCTATGATTAGAATTGTTGGCTTCTTGTTCTTTGTTCCTAGTCATTTAACCCCACAAGTCTTGTTGGGAGTTCTCTCAAATCTCTTTCAAGATTTATAAGCATAAGAAGTATTCAGTGGTGAACTACATTTTCCCTTTGAGTGTGCTCTAGTGGTCCTCAACCTTCCTAAAGCTGAGACACTTTGATATAGTTCCTCATGTTTTGGTGAGCCTCCAACAATAAATTATTTTTGTTGCCATTTCATAGCTGCAATTCTCTACTAGTATGAATCATAATGTAAATATCTGATATACAGGATATCTCACATGTAACCCCAAAAGGGTGAAAGGGTGGTTCAACCCCCAAAAGGGGTGTGACCCACATGTTGAGAACCATTGTGCTAGACTGTTTTCCCACTCTGTTGCACAGAAAGAACTTGACAAGTGACCACGATGTTTGGACCAGTTTATCATGATAGATGTGGATGCTGTCCAGTAGCTTGAAGCCGTTAATAACTGCTGGTTTTCTTTGTAAGGGATTCAATTTGGTGTTGTCTAATTTTCATTTTTGTAGAAATATTAAAATGTAATGTTTCCTATGAGAGTGTCTACATTTCTCCTTCTTTTTTTTTTTTTTTTGCCTTAATATTGTCCTTGTATACCTGTGGTATTTCACTTCATATTGAAGATTATATAGTAAAGTATAGTTTAAAAACATCAGATAACAGATAATTCTTGCTCTTCTGGCTGATTTCTACACCACACTCCCATCACACACACACACACACACACACACACACACACACTCACACATAATTTCAGATGTAACAACCAAGTAAAGTTCTAACAATTGACTGAGAAAGAGAATAAACCAGTTAAATAGTCATGTACAAAGATTAAACTAACCTTGGAAAATACATATGATTCCTGTATTCGGGAGGTTGCAGCGGGAGGATCGTGAGTTGGAAGCCACCCTGGGTTATATAAGTGAAACAGTAAAGAAGAAGAAGAGGAGGAGTAGCAACAGCAATAACAGCTCCAATACCAAAGCTAACACAAGATTCAAAGCATTCACAATACTCTGAAATATGTAAGATGCCCATCAGTAGTGCCAAGGATAAAAGGTTAACACCAGTTTTGAGAGTAAAAGTACCCGGTATATGGCCAGCACAAATTGGACTTGATTTTTTTTTTAAAGAGGATCCAAGTTAGGAGGTTAGGGAAGGGGAGATGTATCTGGGAGAAATTAAGGGTTGAATATGATCAAAATTCATTATATAAAATTCTCAAAGAACTAATACCAGTTAAAATCAACAAAATAGAGATGAAATTATATATATATAATTTAATATATATATATAAAATTTAATGTGTGTGTGTGTGTGTGTGTGTGTGTGTGTGTGTATAAAGTAAAGAGAGAAAATAGGAGGATATACTAGCTAGAACATAACAAATACGACTCAGGTTTGGAGACTCACTATCTAGTATTAAGAGGGTCATTCCACATATTTTTAAGAGCTTGATAACATTTCTTTAATTTGCCAGAAATTATGGAAAATGTTCACTGTATCTTCTTTATGCGTGCATGTGAAATATCAACATCAATGAACATAAAAAACTATCTTAGCAACTAGAACACAGAATAGTAAAAAGTTAGTAATGGCCTTCAGCTGGACAGTGTGCAGAGAGTGAGATGGAACTTTCATCCCTAATAGGATGTCTCAATCAACGCCCCCACCTCCCCGCACAACCTCAGGGCTCAGGGAATCCTATGGAAGAGGAAGCAGAAAGAATTTAAAATTGTGGGGGATACAGGACACCAAGAAAATGAGCTTTCTTTCT